TTTAAATAATATAATTTATTAATATAATTTACAACATTCTGTGTATTTTCAGAATTAATAAAATTGAGACCTAATTTTGGAATATACACTCTTAAAAAGAAATGTTCCCCACAGAAACGTTCAGTGAACAGTTCTTGAAAGAACCTTTTTTCTAGTTTGAAGTAATCTGAAGATCCTTTTTCCACTACAAAGAGCATTTTGTGCATTGGAAAGGTGGTTTTCTCAGTGTTGCCATATAAGAACCATTTTCGGTTCACGAAAGAACCTTTCAGTGAACAATTCTTAAAATAACCATTTTTTTTCTTAGTGTGAAGAACATTTTATTAATCTAAAGAACTATAAACAACCGTTTGTGGAATGGAAAGGTTCCATGGATGATAAACGTTCTTCATGGGACCACTGATGCCAATAAAGAACCTTAATTTTTAGACTGTATGGATATTAAAGTTTCTTTATGGAACCATAGATACTAAAGAACTTTTATTTTTAAGGGATTCTAGTATTTATAAAATACACTCTTAGAAATGTGTTTATGTTCCCTCTCTTTCTCCTTCTGTGTGTTTACATTCATGCTAATAGTTTGTGTGTATATGTGGAAATGTCCACTATAAAGCGTGCGCAAATTAGGCCCTCTAAACACTTCTGTCTATAAATTACACAAAGAACACAGAGCCGTTTTATCTAATATGCATGTATTCACATCCTATTTATGCAAAACTCGAGAGATCGCACTTGTATGATATCTTTGATAGACACCCAAAGCCTGTGAGACTGATATAATAAAGGACATTTGCCTTTAAATGAATCATATATGCTCTGCTCTTTCAGTTTGTGGATTTTTACAAAGCTTGTTGCATAAGTGTAAATGCATTGCATATTTCAGTTGTTCTTCTTTTATAATGTCATATGTGCATGGCCAGCAAAATTTTAGATTTGATGTAATTATGTTGACACTGAAATTAGCAGTAATGTAACAGGCATTTTGTGTCGAGTTTTCTGTCTCTCCCTCTTAAATTTTAACGGGTTAGGTGAATGTAAAGTTGAACATGATTAAGAAAAAGAGACAGAAGAAAATACAAGAATCACTATCCACTCATTGAATAATCCATAACTATTTTTCGTCAGTTTGGCTCCTGGTGTTGAGTTGGTGTATCTTAAAGAGGACTGAATGAATGACTTACTAGATGTTTAGGAGAGTTGCTAATATGTTAGTATGTAATAATATTTGATAATTGCAGTCTACTTGTGCCATTATATGCCATAATAATGATATAATGGTAAAAAAAATGATTCAAATATATTTTCTACGAACGATATGCATCAACCGGAAGTAAAATCAAAAAGTGGGTGGGGGAGTCGTAGTAAGAGTACATATTGTTTTTTTCGCAATCTTTTTTCATACATAAATGTACACATGTATGTTTCGACAGCGTTTCCAAACGTTGCTGTAATTCTCAGAATGCGTATTCAACTGATGCAAACCAATAGAATCCCCATTCCCAGAGGTAACTATAGAAACAGTGAACATTCATTTACTTTTCATTACAATCGGTTTTAGGTGGTACATCGATAAACTCTTTGAATTTCGTTTAATTATAAAGTCACATATGTCGTATATGATTTTTTTAAGCTAACTATGCTAGTGGCCTAAATTATGTTGCATGAGACCAACATGTTGCGTTCTGAAAATTAGCCTACATTTAATTAAGCAAAAATGGATTTTAATGAAGAAAAATACTTTTAAAATATCGAAATTCGTTTATAATATCCCTCCCTCCTGTAAGTCATTGTATAATTCACACACTCACTGGGATGTAGGCTATTAGTCGCTTTTTTCATACATAAATGTACACATGTATGTTTCGACAGCGTTTCCAAACGTTGCTGTAATTCTCAGAATGCGTATTCAACTGATGCAAACCAATAGAATCCCCATTCCCAGAGGTAACTATAGAAACAGTGAACATTCATTTACTTTTCATTACAATCGGTTTTAGGTGGTACATCGATAAACTCTTTGAATTTCGTTTAATTATAAAGTCACATATGTCGTATATGATTTTTTTAAGCTAACTATGCTAGTGGCCTAAATTATGTTGCATGAGACCAACATGTTGCGTTCTGAAAATTAGCCTACATTTAATTAAGCAAAAATGGATTTTAATGAAGAAAAATACTTTTAAAATATCCCTCCCTCCTGTAAGTCATTGTATAATTCACACACTCACTGGGATGTAGGCTATTAGTCACTGCGAGCTCAAATCCCTCCCGCTGTTTTCAGGACCCTGGACAGTTCCTGTGTCTACACAGGTGCCTCTGCACGTTCCACTAGCGTTTGTTTGTATTGCAGACCTTAGGCCCTTTCTCTAGAGGTTCATAGCATTGTAGCCTATTGATTAGACGTAGAAGGATGGGCTCTCAATGACCGTTTCCAGTCCCAAATGTTAGCTTTCCCATGCATCAAATGATAACGCGTTGGTTCGTTTATGATGCAAGTGGGTCGTTTCTGTGTCATTTAAAATCAGCTTTTAATAAGTTGTTGATTGTCTATACTTTAGCATTCACATAGTTTTGGGTGCATATGTGTGTACGCAGAAGCTGTGGGCTGATTCGCTATTTAACCAAAAAGACTCGACAAGGTTAGGCCAGCCTGTTAATGGCTCTTCTGTCAGGGCGATTGTAAACAGATGGCACCTTTAATTTTAGCATTTAGCTATTTACAAATATGCAAATGACTGGAAGTAGCCCAGGCGTGCATTTCACTCATATTTGCTTATTCGCGGAGGGTAACGTCAGGGGGAAAACTGAGGATTTCTCAAATGGGAAGTCAACAAAACAATACTTAGTGAGAAAATAAATAGCGTGCATCACGAAGGGATTAGAAATGTAAGCGAAGCCAAACTCGCTGCCGTTGTTGCCTGCCAAGAACAGCGGGGGTCCCGAAACTCGCCCTTGGCTCTCTTTTTCTCCAGCATGCAGCCCACCGGTATCCCCTGACTCCAAATATTACCAAACTGTTTAGTCATTGCTTAAACCATGCATGTTGTAAAAGGATTATTAATTTCAGGGGATGATTGATAGATAGATGGATAGATGGATAGATGGATAGATGGATAGATAGGTAGATAGATAGATAGATATGGTTCTTTATTCATTTAGACTTGTATAGGTATTTTTTGTGAAACCCATATTCTAAAATGTTTATAATTTTTTGTTTATATAATAATAATAATAATAATAATAATAATAATGATGATGGATATTCAATTGATATTTATTATTATGATTATTATTCATATATTCCTCATTATTATTATTATTATTATTATTATTGTTTTAAATAGTCCCAGACTACTTTATTTAACAATGCACAGAGCATTGGTTACGGTGTTTGCGTTCTCTTTCTTATCCGATACACTAACACAACTGTAAACTACCTGCTATTGTTTACACGCAGAGAGGGAAGCAGGTAGACAGACCACGGGTGGCCTGATCCGGATTTATTCCAGTGATCAGACATGCCTGTGGCTTTCAGAACCCGTGAGAACACAGCTCTCTGACAATATGCCGCAATGATATTACCCCACACAATATTTAATGCTAATGCACAAGGAAATGTGGGTTCAAATATCATTGTCTAACGATAAAAAATAAAAACGTACGCTGCTATTTTAGTTGTTTTCCTTTTAATTGATTAATTAAATTATATCTATGGAATTTCGTGTGGACATACACGCACCAGAATACCTGTAAAAAAAATTAAAAGGTTTACATTTTGTCAATATACTATATTGAGAGTAATTTCCACTAAAAGCTGCTAAAGGTTGTAAATTCAGTCTCTAATTCTCTAGAATAAATGAGAGTGTACGTAATGTTTGCATTTCCACAGCTAACAAAATGATTACCTGGGTAAATATTTAAAATCCTTTCGATTTGTGGCTACTTTGTCAAACCGCTGGGCGATCCGGTATACTCTCTATTGATGCGAGCCAGTATCTTAATCCAGTGCATTTCCCTGTAAATAGCTTTATGCATGAGAAAAGAACGGGATCCCCCACAGCGCGCACAGATCATTCATTCAGAATTAAGACGCAGTGATGGCTATTTGGATTTTCTACTCTTATTTTCTTTAGGCGTAATGCAAAAGGCGTGCACACTTAAATAGCATCTATAAATGTTTAGAAATATTTATCGACGTTTCTAAGTTAATTACCTTGTGGTAGCCACTGCCACTAGATTTTCAGTCACAAATTAATTGAAAAAAAAATGGAGTCATTATCGTCTTAATAAAAAATAATCTCAAAGGTCTATGAAGAAATCGAACAGCGTCTCCCAGTCCAAATGTGCTGTGCAGGATCCAGGTCTAGTGAGGCCAAAAACGCAAGCCTGTGCACATTTTTCTGATATTACTGGTCGAATCCAAATTCGGTAGAAACAACAAAATAGCACGTCGATAAAATAATTAGCTTTACTGCCATCAGCCTTTATAGACGTTTTACCAAACCCAAGGTAGAACTTTGGAAGCAATCGGAGAGTACCAATATTTAAACCCATTGCCATGGCGACTTGTCCGCGATTGGCCAGTACAAGAAAAACGTAATCGAATCTGAATACGGATGCGAGAGGCTCCCGCGAACTAGAACGAGTGATGCAAAAAGTGCTGGTGAGGTGAGTGGACACAAGCAGGTGGATCAAGAGCACAAAACAAAACCAGGAGGAAACCTTGGAGAAGCCCTTTTGTTGGCAAACTCTCTGCAACGAATATATGTATTTTCTGATTCAGTGGATTTCTGGATGCCGACAGGTATGATGCATAACAATCACGTCTGGAGTGTTTACTTCTAGGCGTGGTGGAGACTCATTCTCAAGACGGAACATTTACTCTGCTGTTGCTTCCCTCTCCAAGAAGCCAAGACGTTGCTCCGCACCGATTCGTGTGGCCCCAATCCGAGGCGCGGTGCCCGTTTGGGAAGGTCGGCTCTCGGTCCCCTCCAGGGCGGAATGATGGCGCACTGCGCGGGGTGCGAGAGGCCCATTCTCGATCGGTTCCTCTTAAACGTTCTCGACCGCGCATGGCACGCCAAGTGTGTCCAGTGCTGCGAGTGTAACTGCAACCTGACCGAAAAATGTTTCTCCAGGGATGGAAAGCTCTATTGCAAAATTGACTTTTTCAGGTAAGATCTGAAGCTGCTTGCATTTGGGCTGCCTCACCTCGTCAAACTTCTGGACTAATCCTCGTTTGAAGAATGTGTCATGTAGGATTTACCTACCCTTGTTTTCCTCTTATGTGGATGAGGCTCAATTTGTGGATTAACCTGCCTAAAATGTGTAATGTACTGTTAAACCTTTGATCCTCCGTCGTTCATTAATAGCTTTTGATTGATGAGCCATTCATTGCTTATTGTAGGCTATTCACAAGCTTTCGACGTGAGAATCCCTCTTGAAGGCCTTTTTGCACATGATTGTGAGAAAAATATCTGTTAGTGAAGTAATTGTTTATTATACTCGAAAACACATTATTGTTTTGCTCATTATTATTATGCATTTGAAACCTGATTTCAGTGGATAACTAATATTAAACAAAACAGACGGTTGTGTTTTTTCACATTTATCCAGAAATATAAACGAAAATTGCAGCGAATAGGATTTCTTTTTAATATATAGGAAATATATAATTTACTTAACCTCCAAATTGACAAATAAAATCGCCAAGATTATTTAAATGTTTTATTAATTCAGAAACGTTTTAAAAAATGAACGTTTAAAAGTGAATTACATTAGTCTGGTTGAAATATTATAAACAGCAGCCTAGTTAAATCACTAAACAAACTAATTTCTTTAAATACATTTAAAAAAAGTAAATAAAAATATGCACTAAATTCCTTAAGATTAGAACCCCAAACAACATAGTCTCAAAACACCTGTGTTGCGTACCTGTAATGCTACTGTTGTAGTCTCAGAACAGGCCGCTATATCGCGCAGTGTGTTCTGTCAGGTTTTCTTCTAGTTTACATTTCTCTGAGCTATTTAATGTCAGTGTTTAAGCTTTCATATGTGCCATTGTTATCCCAAACGGCCTTGACCATCACGTTCTATGGGGCCCATCCAGCTCTGCGCTTCAATGTGGAGCCATTAGTGGGGCGAAACAGTAATCACCCGTAATGCGTCCATTTGTTGTGTAAGTAGTGTTATGGCCTTTCACTGGGAGAGATGCATTTGAAAAGCAAGAGAGCGACTCGATACCATAACAGATGGGGGAAGATTTCGTACATTAGTGTTAAAATAAACCCGAGGGGAGAAACAGAAGGGAGTAGTGCGCTTGACGTGCCTTACGACCAAGACCGGCCTGTATACCTTGTCTTTCCCGTCTCATTGTCATTGAAATATGAATTGAACAAACTACACGAACTCTGTATTATTTCGGCCTCTACTTCGAGGGGAAAAAACAGTGTAGGCGCAGATTAACAAATCAGAAAAGGAACAACCACCTGTAATTGGCGGCTTATTTCAATTCACAGGATGAATGGATAAATATAAGAAAACCGAAAATCAGGTTTCGTATTTGTAGATGAAAAACACTCTAGTTCCATTTGTATTTCAACGACAACTCACACTCATACTAAGAAATTAATATGATAGGTGAACTGACTTGCGTTTGTGTTTAATACTACAAATTAGGCTTTGGTATCTTAATCCCACAATATCTCTTCATTTAGAGCATGTCGACTTTATCTTGAGCCTGTTGCCAAATTCCTTCAGATTTATGGCATGGTTTATGAAAATGCCAATGCCTGTAATAAATATTAAAGTTGTTGTTTTTTTCATATTAATCATTTAAAATTATTTTGTGAAAGTATAGCCTACATTTAATTATTCTTTTTAAATAATATAATTTTCGACCCAATATTTCAGCTGACACAGTGAGTGAAAATCATGTGTGCGTGATCCACCAGTCATTTTTGTGACTTAATGTGACAATGTTCAAGATATGCAGAATTCACAATTTACTTACTGCACGTTACAAAATACACACATACTATATTGCATACAAGTTCTTTAAACAGGTAGGCCTACTTGGAATGGAAAATAAATTGCAGAATGCTTTTCGGTATTCAGTATGGTCCTTTACAGTCTCCGGTGGAGTGTCTGTAAAATAAACAATCATTGGCACAGCATGTAGCTACTGGAGAGCAATATCATCAATGCCCATGATGCAACCTTTCTGTTGACCATTAGGCTTAACATGCACATATATATATATATATATATTGTTCTGTATGGTCATCTCTGTGTCCCTCTGCAGGCGGTTTGGTACGAAATGTGCGGGCTGCTTGCAGGGCATTTCGCCCAGCGATCTCGTGCGAAGAGCGCGCAGCAAGGTGTTCCATCTGAACTGTTTCACGTGCATGGTGTGCAACAAACAGCTGTCCACGGGCGAGGAGCTCTACGTCATCGACGAAAACAAATTTGTGTGTAAAGAGGACTACATGAGCACGAGCGCTATCAAAGAGGTCAATTTAAACTCAGGTGAGAACGACGACCGGAGCTGTGCGTTTAAGGTTTAAGAAGTGAGTGTGTGTGTGTGTGTGTGTGTGTGTGTGTGTGTGTGTGTGTGAAAGAAGGTTTCCATCCCTCTGAAAGAGTCTGACTCAGTTGTGTGAATTAAGGGTTAATGACATGGCGCTCTTTTCTTATCGAGTTCAAAATTTTATTCAAACCCAATTCATATTAAATGAATTGATTAACATGATTTCTATTGTTTTTTTTAAAGCAGGGAAGCAATTCCTTTTTTAACACGATTAAAAGTTATATCAATGTCACCATGGCATAACCAGCATGCAGGAAGCCGTGTTGTTGTCATGTGATATGAACTCTTTAAAATAGAGAGAACACCCTCATAACTGTGTCAAGGTCATTATATTAATGTTGACCTTTTTAAATAAAATCCTTAAGACTTGATATTCATAAAGAAGAAGAAAAGAATAACTATATTTGAAAATAACGATTAAGTGTCCAAGAACAATATTTAGACATTTTTGCTGGATGGTTACACCATATGACATTCACTAAATCAATTATTTATTTATTTTTTACAAAACGGTTTACGTTTTTTGAAAGTAACACGAATACAGACGATTCTATTTCTAAAAACTTTGCACGTTTTAAACTAGATATTAAGATTTCCTCAAATGAATCTATTCGTGTTATTAACCTTCAGGGATTCAGCGCATTCGTCTTTCATTAGAATACATCAATACACATTTTCATTTGTGTGTTTGTTTGTCTACACTGATTGTCTAGCGTGCTACGTATCTTTCTAAGATGTAAATGCATATTAACAGTTGTGTTCAAATGTAAAATCCATTGAAAGAAAACGACTAGCCCGATTCAGAGGTGTGTGTTGGTCCACTATTTACGCGTGTCCTCGTGACTGTGATGCTCAGTGCGGGGAGTCCTCCGGAGCCATGCCGGTTCAGCAGCATGTGTGTGTAATCCCTAAGCAACGCTCACTCAGGAGGAGGCAAAACATTTCCATAAAAATGTACCAAACAGTTAGCCGATTGTTCTCAATAAGCAGGTGTTGCCTTTGCTGAGCATGGAGAGGAATGCTTAAGTGGTTTTAGGTAGAGAACATGTTTTGTCTCTCTAATATAGTCTCTCTCACTCTCTATTTTTCTCTTTTGTACATGGCAGGATTGTGCCTCCAGAGCAGACTAACTGTTGTAAGCATATATTATGCAGTGGCAATGCAGATTCAGGCATGAATGTGTTACATTGTACCATCATGCATAACAATGTCACCTTAAGTCAGACATTTTCACATCATCCTCTGCTCTTTGTTCCTGCGCAAGCAGTTTATATGATAACAGTGTGAAAAACGGCCCTCGTGGTGTTTGTTGAAGTACACGGTTGTGATTCTTTTGACTAAAAGGTTATTTTTGAGTTCCACCAGCACAGTGGTATGTCAAATTGCGTTGGTCTTACTAAAAGATTGAAACAATGTTTGACAGTGATGAGTCTGATATTGCATCTGTCACACTGTTATATCAGGTCTATTTGTAATGAGCTGGTGGATTCATGATCAAACGATACTTGTCAGCACTGGGGTGTCTCAGAAATTATGTGCGTGCATGCACTAAAATGGACTTGTGAAATCATCACAGCATATACATTTTCGCAGGAATATAAATCTTAAGAATCTATTGCATTGTAGTTCAGTAGCACTATAGGTTTGACAAGACTTATTTAACAAGCCGGGCAGGATCAATTATTGTGTGTTAGATTCTTTCATTAATAGGTTGAGCTGCAAGATAAACCTGAAACAAGAGAACATTTGTCTATGTGATATATATATATATATAACATTTGTCTATGTGTGATATATATATATATATATATATATATATATATATATATATATATATATATACCTGCTGATATCTTTAGAATAGTGTGTGTAATTATAACGAGGCTAACTTTGGTAAATATTTCATACTGCTCCATTCATCCTCTTGGTATTTGGTTAAATTGGTCACATTATTATCTATATAATGGCATTTCATAGCTTAACCTAGCATGTTTCGGATGAAATTAGTATGTTTCTTCAAGCAAATGTGCTGCTAATACCATTAAATCAACAAGAGTGTTGATAGTAAATCACTAAGAGTAGCTGGTTTTCTTTTAGTTTTTGTATGTACTGCATGTTATAAAAACATTAAAATCTTATTTTCCTCTTGCAATGGCTAGAAAAATTTAACCCTTAAGGAAAAATCTGTCATTATTTACTCACTTTCATGTTGTTCCAAACCTGTATGACTAAATTTCCTCTGCCAAACGAAATGTTTTTGGCTATTCACAGGGTCAAAGTTGTTTGGACCCCATTTATGTTCATTGTGTAGCCAAAAACAGTTCTTCAAAATATCTTCTTTTGTGAAGAATGCCCCTTTAACAAACATAAGACAAGTCGTAATGAAAGTAAATATCTTGTTTCGTTGTTGTACGTGGTCTAATTACTTACAATACTCATATAAACCATCAGGTCACCTTGGACAGGTGTGTAAAATGAACCGTTTTCTAATTGGATAATCAGAAGAATGTGAAATGTATAAACATGTGAGGTAGCTCTCATCTCACGTACCTCTGTAATTACATAGTATATAATTGTGGCTTTGCCTTGTAGGTGTGGTTTCAAAATCGTCGGTCTAAAGAACGCAGAATGAAGCAGCTCAGCGTTCTCGGTGCTCGACGACATGCTTTCTTCAGGGGACCACGCAGAATGAGGCCACTCGGAGGAAGACTAGAGGACCCAGACATAATGGGCCCTGGAGGATACAGCTACTATGGAGGTACATCATGAACACAAAGAATGTTCTTTCTGACAAAACACATTTACACACAATAATATGTGCTGTCTCTCACTCACATGCCCTGTATCTTTCAAGGCTTTTCTCTTACCTGAAAGCACAAAGACTCTTACAAGCAGTTTCTCTCCTGGTATTAAGATACTTCAGCATCACCCATCATTCCTCAGAGCTTTAACACCGAATCCAAAATCTATGATTATGTCGTCAGAGCAGAAAATAAGAAATATAACACTGGCATCCAATGGAGTTCATTGGAGAACTCTGCAGAGAAATCTGATTAACAAGACCCTGAAAGCGATAAATTGTGCGCGTTACCTGTTGCTTGACATTCCAGCTTGGTCTCTTTGATTGGATTTTGCACACTTCTGGTATCTGACATACTAACAGGTGTTTGGCAGAGATGCAAGCAGTGTTTTCATTTCTGTAATGAGTGAACACAGCAATACAATCAGAATACAGACACCAACCATTCTACAAATAATTGAAAAAGTGCCTATTTCAAAAAATAACATACATTTCCAGCTTTTAGAACATGGAAACAGATACATAACATACTGATCTCTAGAGGTCTGGCATTGATGATTTGACTATCTATCACACAGTGAGCAAGTGGTGTTTCTTTATAGTAAAATGTCTTTCGATGATTGATTAGCACATTAAAGTATCACAACTGCAGGAAAAAAATAATGGAATTGGGGAGGAATGTTAATGACTTTCTGTAGCACTAATTATATAGGCCAGTCGCAAAGGTACGACAGAGTGAGAGGATGGATATGAGAGTAAAAATGAAGAAACATGCCTCTGCACTCTCCTACGATTTCCACATTTATGTCCTCTTTCCTCACCTTTCATTTGAGTATTTTCATTCATGAGCACTTCTTATTCGTCCGCATTGTCTTTGTTACACTCTCGTAATTAAATTTTTTGGTCATAGCCAAACTATTCTGAAACATTGTCATGGAAAATTAGAAAAACATGAAATTGGGCATCAAATAAAAGTATTACTCATTGTGAGTTAAATGTCACGTACACTGATTCTTCGAAATGGTAAACAAAACAGATCATTGGAGTACATTTTACAAGAATATACTATTTCAGTTTTTCTACTTCAAAATTTCGCGTTTAATTTAAGGTGTTACTTGCCATTTTGTTTTACTACTTTGTGAAATTTACTAACAATTTTTGAGTGAAAACTGTTTCTACACCAATTTTTTCTTCAGTGTACTCAACCCCAAAAGCACTTTTTCTTTTAAATATCAACTGCATTACTGATTGCTCTATTTTTCTCTTCAGAATACCAAGGCGACTATTACGGGCCAGTGGTCAGCTATGATTTCTTCCCTCACGGACCCCCTTCCTCACAGGCGCAGTCTCCTGCCGAGTCCCCGTACCTCCTCACCTCGGGTTCAGGAGCCCTGGAGGGCGGCCCGGTCTCGGCTCTGAAAACTGTTTCTACACCAATTTTTTCTTCAGTGTACTCAACCCCAAAAGCACTTTTTCTTTTAAATATCAACTGCATTACTGATTGCTCTATTTTTCTCTTCAGAATACCAAGGCGACTATTACGGGCCAGTGGTCAGCTACGATTTCTTCCCTCACGGACCCCCTTCCTCACAGGCGCAGTCTCCTGCCGAGTCCCCGTACCTCCTCACCTCGGGTTCAGGAGCCCTGGAGGGCGGCCCGGTCTCGGCTCTCCACCCTTCAGACGACCAAAGGTTCACGGACATGATCTCCCACGCAGATACCCCCAGTCCTGAGCCAGGCATGACCGGACCGCTCCATCCAAATCCACAAGGGGAGGGTGGCTTCACAGGGGGTCCGAGTCCACCCTTCCCCCTGGCCAACAATACCAGTTACAGTGGTCCCATGTCCCATCCTGGTCAAGAGATGGGGGAGAACACTGTTTGGTAGGACAGAGAGAGACAGGAAAGACTCTGAACTATGCACACAGAGGGAATTCCTTCCTAACTGGTCTACCTTAGTGCTATGTTACTGAGGGAGGGTTTATTGGCTGGTCATGGACCAGAACAAACCAATATTTGGACCATAAACCTGAAAGGTGGAAAGACATCAAGTGCAAATGACCCTCTCTTGAGGTTTAGTTTCTACTGTCAAGGGATGTGTATTGTCAGTGGTCATCTTGACCAATCACATTGGTTATGATTCCGTTGATATGGTTTCCTGAGTTCAATATTATGATTGCGACAATAGCTCAGATGTTCGTCCAAGAGGTTTTCTACTGCTTTGACTTACTGATTAGCGAAACTTGTCAAACTGCATTTGATGGTCAGAAGTGAGCTAGTACTTAAAGGTAAATCCATTCTCATCCTTTTGTTGGCTTTAGTTTCTTCCTTTTCCGAGATACTGAGGCTTAATTTGTTCAAATTTAAAAAAAAAAAAAAGTTTTCTGTTCTGTCTTAAAACTGGTCCATTTGTAACATATTTGGTTCATTCATTAACTGCTGAATTGGTTCATTAAACATTTCAATGAACACTCAGTATACCTGTGTTCTGATGAATCTATGCCTGTCAAAACACACTTTGCGCTAATCAAATATCTGATACGTAATTGGACTTACAGGTACACTGAATAAAAAATTATAACATGTTTCAGAGGGAAAAAGTTATTTTTAGTTGAAACAGAACTGATAACCCTACTGTGGTCAAATTGACCCAAGAGTCTTAACTTCAATAACCAACAAGCCAACTGCTAATTTATTCTAAACAGTTTCTAATTTTAGTATATGTCATTAAGTTCTAGACAGAAACGTTGATGTTAAGTTGCTGTAGGGTTAAAATGACCCTCAAACAGCAAAGAAGGGTTAACTAAACATTAGGTTGACTATGAGATGTAAATGATTTTGGATTTGAAAACTCCTGGGACAACTACTTTTAGCACCGAGTACGTACTGAAGCTGGATATACATATTCCCTTTAGGTTGTTTCAGAAAGTAGTTTTTCAGTAATAGGGTTTTGTGTGTGTGTGTGTGTGTGTGTGTGTGTGACAATTTAACAATTCAAGGTCCATGATGTCACCATTAGTTTTTGTGACATCACACAAGAGGAAGTTGCCACTTCACAAGAGGACAAAATCGATAACAACTATTTTAAATTCAGTATTCACACTTAAAAACAAATATATGCACCTGCAACAAATAGAGACATCTGCCTTACCCAAATCACCTCCCATCCCCCATCTTCTGCATAGAGGCCTTTGCCCACACAGTGATCTGTCATTGAGAAGCTTGCAGAAACGCCTGACGAGCCTGTGCTTTGTTCAACTTCATTTAACCTTCACTTTAGTACCTTGCTTTGAAAAAAAAATGTTTTAATGGAAATGATTTTCAAAAGAACATTGATGCCATAATGAAAAATCTCCTTTAACAGCTGAGGTCTCTCTTCTCAATGGGGGGAAAACAAAAGGATGGGACAGGCAACATCTGTGACTTACCACTGCACCCTGAACAGCCTCCAGACTGAAAGCAGGCGCCATCTGATGGGCTAGTGAAGAAAAACAATCGTCTAGGCAAATGTCACCTGGACATAGGGGGCATAATAATTTTGTAAGAATTTAATTACCTAGCTTTGACACTAGAAAATGTAGAAACTGGCACTACAATATTTAGGTTTAAAGGATTCAAGGTACTCAAAAGGGAGTATATAAAATAGGTTACATTTAATTTCTTAAGACATCCCAGTGTTAGCTAACGGTTGTTAAACCAAATTTGTCTTGCTTCTCAAATTTTTCAATCTTATAGTCCACCAAACAAAAATCACCACCGTCACTAAAGAAAACAAACCACAGAAGAAAAGTCACTAAACAAAAACTAAAACAATCTTAGAGCTGACCAAACAAAACTAATCGCCAAAATCACTAAACAAACTAAAGCACCAAACAAAAATCACCAAAGAAATGTCTCAAAACAGAAAGACTAAATAAATCTTAAGAGACCACCAAACAAAAGAGCAAAGTAACCAAACAAAACAAATCACAAAAAAATTAAATGATCTTAGAGCCAACCAAACAAATCAATCACTAAACAAACCAAAAACAACAACAAAAAACTTAGACAATCTTAGAGCAAAGAAACATCACTAAACAAGACAAACTACCAAACAAATCGACAAAGAAAAGTCACTAAACAAAACAAAAACAGCCAAACAAAACAAACAGGCCTTATGATGGGAGTCTACCCAAAGGTCCATACTGTAGTCTACTCATTAGGTCTAGGGAAGTTTGGCCCACCCATAAAAATTGTTGACTTACCTGGATGAATCTTTTTTTATAAATCCAACTCATAAATTCTTAGCACCCTTTATGGGTAGTTCTAAACTGAGGAAACAACATATGATTTTTAAAATAAATAAGTAAATCATTCCTACAAATCCATTCAAACTTATCTACAAAGTTTTCCTACTCTCTCTTACGTAGGATTTGACAGCCATCACATTCAAACAAACATGTATTTCACATGTATCTGCTTTCATGTGCAACATGTTTTCAAGGTTATGACTCTTATTACTTATGCATTTAGAGACTTGTAGGTCCCCCCTCCTTCCCGATTCCTTGTCTCAGTGGGCTCAGGTGGGCCTGCGGAGGACCACGCAGGCCCCAATTTTCCCCCTGACTGGTTTTAACATAAGGGGTAATGTGAGAGGAGCAGGCACGGGCTCTTCCACACCATCTCCTCCCCCAGAGGGAAACTCTGAGCCGGGCTAGATCCCGCATGCAGCCCCTCCTGCCGTGGAGAACGTGGTCTTCAGTGCCACCATACCATTACTGCCTGCCATATCCCTCTATTATTTACTTCTCTTTCTCTCTGTTTGCTCCCTGGAGCCTGCCAGCACCATATCTCGTTTGGCGAGGTAGAATAGAGGTCTTTATCTCAGGGAGGTGAGGACGAGAAGGCAAGGAGCTTGGGGACTGAAAATGTGTCTGTATACACATACACATACAGACGGAAGCCATGCTTTGACCAAGAGCTTCACGGGCACACTTGTATATCTCAGAAAAAATCTTTACAGTTTTATTACCCAAATATATCCAATGTCTTGGTTCTGCACACACACGCACATACACAGAGCAAAGTCCATTATCACACAAGCCTTTTTGTAATGGATTTCCTTGTTTTGCTTCAGTGAGAGGGAAGAGGAGGTGGTGGAGGGGAGAGAAGCCTTCTGTTGTTGTTATAAATCACCTGCTCGTTCTCTCACACCTCTCTCCCTCCCGTTTCTCCGTCCCATGCTATCCCACAATGCCCCCCCTCCACCCGGCACATAATCAGCCCCAAGCACAGGAACCCCCTAGAAAGTCTCTTTCACTGCAAAGCCTCTCAGCATCCCTCCTCACTTCGGTTTGCTTACTCTATCGCTCTCTTCAGCCTATATTTTATTATCTTTCTCATCACCTTTACTTTTCTCTTTAGAGATTATGGTTATATTTGCACATTTTCTTTTTGATTTCAGACTCTTCGAAGGTCAAATATTTAAGCATAATCATGAACGGTTTTATTTGAACAAACTTGAATATAGCTAAGGAAACTGAACAATTAAATGTTGTTTTTGCTTTAAGCAAATGTGTAAATCACCTATTGATTGTTGGGGGGGAGGGGGGTTCAGATGGGAAATTACATTTAGCTTTGTTCTTGTGTATTTTTAGCTCCGCTCAAAATGCAAGTCCCAATTGCACATTATAAATCTGTTTGGTAGAACTATTTTAAGGGTTGATATTACATTGTTTTCTATTCTGTGCATACAGTATACAATACTGATATAAAATGGTTTAAAAAATGGCTGGTTACATTTGATCTATTTCAGGTGCAAGTAACTTTAATGCTGACTGATAATAAACTACAAATAAATTATATTAATTATATTTCTAATTTTTAAAGTATCTGTGAATATTTAAATACATCAAATACTATAAAAGTACTTTATAAAAAAATTATTGAATTTTTTGTAGAATAACTTGAAATTTTTTTTTGATGCAAATAATATATACTATTGATATTAAATGGTTTAAAGTGGTTAAAATGGCTAGTTAAATTATTCAATACTATTATATTATTTATATTAAATTTTATTTAGATTTTTTAATATTGATGCAAATATTACATACAAATTCAATATTAAATAGTTTAAATGGCTAGTTACATTTGACCTATTTTAGCAGAATATAACTTTAATGAATGAAAATAAAATAAACTATTTCTAGTTTTCAAAATATTGTAATACATTAAAATAACAAAATATAAAGTTTAATAAATACCTTTTAGAAAAAAAAAAACATCAAAACTACTAGAAAATCTCCCCCCCCCCCAATCAAATTGTTAAATTACAAATTTCATGTTTCTTCATTTTTAGCAGTTTCTTTCTCCAGAGGTTTTACAGTTTTAACACATTCTCATTTTCCCACAGCAGCCCAAATTCTCCTCTCAAGCGTAGCCAGACCATCCAGAATCCTCGGTAACCTCTCACCTCCACCTGCTCAAACCTCCTGCGTTGTCACCTGTCCTATCACCTCTCGCAATCTGTCTCCCCTCTCCTCTCCTGCACACTTCCTCATGCGCCCAGCCTCTCCTCGCTGTAGCCTGGGGCTGGGAAATCCTATTAGCCTTTACCATGGGAGAGAGCAGGAGACATCATTAATTACACACACAAACCCACTCCTGACAGTGCCAAGCTTAATCAGCCAGGACCATAAAACACAGAGCAGCTAGTGCACCCACACCACAAACACACAGACGCACATACAGGTACACACACACACACGCACACACACACACAGTCTGGTCAGCTATCCTTGTGGGGACTCTCCATAGGCATAATGGTTTTTCTACTGTACAGACCGTATATTCTATTGCCCTACCCCTAAACCTACCCCTCACAGGAAACTTTCTGCATTTTTAGATTTTCAAAAAACTTCATTCTGTACGATTTATAAGCTTTTGTACCCGTGGGGACCACAATTTAGGTCCCCATCGTGACACGAGTCCCCGTGAGTCTGTGTGTAGTCAGGTTGAAGTCCCCACCAGGATATATAAACCTGTACACACACACACACACACACTTGCAGAGCAATACCTCGCGCAATTGGTTTGCAAAAACCATGCACAATTCAAAAGGTGCGAAATATACATAAAGAGACATCTTTTTTTTGGTTTCCATCTATTTCCCTGAAAACCCATCAAAATATACCTTAACCAATTCTCTTTTTAGATTAGCAGTTACACACATATAGTCAATGAAAAAAAATTCAAAAGATGTGCAAATTGCATAAAATTTGCTAAAATAGATAAAAGCTGGAAGAACAAGGTAGGGTAAGGCAGAGGAAACCAGCTGGGCGGCTTTTGTTAGAAAACACAAAAGAGATGGCACATGCACTCCGACACACCTTGATTAGCAAATGATTGGCACCGAAATATCATTCAACCCAGCTGTACAAAATCACTCCGCCTCATCCATATGTGTATGTTTACACAGCTCAGAGCACAGTGTATTAATATTTATGCATTCATGTGGAAGAAACTGGGTTGAAAAAAATGATGAGGACATGGAATTTACAAGAAAGGTATTTATTTACTACAGGAAAATCAGTTTGAGAAAACTAGTCCAGAAAAATATTGCTCAAACACCTAAACAAGTAAAATAAAGTTTAAAGCACTCAAGATTGTGATCAAAAATGTCTACTTTTAATTTGATTTCCTATCACCAAAAAAGCATGAACTTTGACACTTTTAAGTTGAGAGGAAATCTGGAAGAATTCACGTTTCTAGGGTTCTTTTCTTTTCCTTATTTTCACCTGATATAAAAACGCAAGCAACTGACCTCAGGTGTCAACAATGAGATAACGGCGAAGACAAACAATGATCTTGAAAGAATGAGAAGAGACTCCCGCAATGGCTTTTTTAACATCCAAGTGCACCCTCATGTGGTCACCCACATTAACCATGGAGTGTTCAAACTCTGAAACGTGTGTAAAAACTGAAATGTGTGAGCGTTTCTTTCACAGCTTTAACAAAATATGAATTAGACGATATATGCGACATTTAATAGCACATGGGCTACTGAAGATTTTTTGAAAAAAACCAAACAAAAAAAACAATGAAATACTTCACTACGAGTAAAATGCTAACAGGTGTCAACACAAGTCTTAATATCTACATTACTTAAAGCCACAACTATTAAGATTCACCACTCATATTTTATGCTTTAGTTTTCAGCTTAATATATAATCTAGAGTTGGTATTTAAAATGAGACAAGACATTTAAACACAAACATCACTTTTGGATGCTAATGTCAGTCTCTTTACCAGCCATATATATAATTAACCATACAGTTAACATATTAGCCTTCATGTAAACTTTAACATAAACCTGCACTTTCCTCAGGTATAAACATACTTGCATATTTATGTGTGAATACATCTAATAATGTACATGTGTATGTATGGGCGTGCATAGCAATGCCTTAATTCACAAAATTTGGAGAACACATTTAAAAACCTGTCAAAATCATCTGAAAGGTAGTTACAAATGTGAAAGGGTCTGCTTAAAAGCTTATTGGGTGAGGTGACAATTTAAATCAAAACATTTGTGAGAACAAAATCTGAAACGATATTGGTGAAACTCAATCCACAACAGCACGCCTAATAGAAGATCTTCACATTGTAACTTAGTCTGGGAAATTCGCAAGATTATAGCTGCTTTTTTTTATAAGCAGTTTAAGCTGCATTCAATATGTATACATTTTAAAGGTAAATCAAAAGTAAAGGAAGATTCAAATCACAGTTATAATTGTGAGCAGTCAGCACTGTAAATCAAGGACTGTGCTTACAACATATTAATATGAAATACAGCCAGTTGTTTTAATTTTCTCTTTTAGACATAAAACAAAACCTGAACCAAAACCAAAAACTAGATGTTGTAAACACCGCCTGTTATAAACCCTGACCCAAGTATAAAAGACATTTGAATTCGCTCTAGTACAGATAGTGGTATATAAGTGTGTACTAAGTAGTACTTACTAACTTACATACTATGTGTTTTGAATGTAGACAATACTGCAGTGTACTGGAGTGTCATGGAGAATGAATGTAATCAGTTTTTACTGCGTCTTTTTGCTTTTGTGGGTGTGGACTGGATCACTTTGGTTTTCATCCGCAACACTCTCCTGTCAATCACCGGAGGGCCCTCCTCTTCTCCCGAATTGTGTTCAGAAGCTTCTTCTTCCTCTGTGCTCCCCTTCTCCTCTTCAGTGCTTGTGAGGTTTTCCTCTTCTCCATCTTCATCAAACTCCTCATCAACCACCTGTATAACGACAGCTTTGCTCAGTCTACTGGATGTGCGCTTGGGTGTTGGCGGGACGGGTTTGATCCTGCCTCCTCGAAGAACTCGAATGCCTGGAGGAGAATCGTGAACTTCGTCTGAGCTTTTTCCCTCATCATCATCATCTTCAGTGGTGGCAGTGTCCTCCTCTTCTTTCTGTTCATCTTTTTCATCCATCTCAGGTAATTTCTCTTCCTCTGGCTCCTCTTTTTCGGAGTCCTCCGTTGTAGGTTGGCTTTCCTCCGTCTCAAGTGGCTCATCGGAGGCAGTCTCATCTTGTTGGTTCACAGCTGGCTCCTCTGTCTCTATAATGACCTCTTCTTCACCTGCTGCACTAGGAGAAGCAGACGTCTCCTCCTGTAGAGCTTCTAGCTCAGGAGCAGATGGTTCCTCTACTGCATCACTGTCCTGCACAGAGGAAACACACTCAACCAGGTTGGCCGGAATGACTGGCACCTCAGGAACAGCTGGTGGACGATCAGTGTCTTCGGTTTCCTTAACTGTTGAAGCTACATCCTCAACTGCAGGAGCTACTTCCTCTTCCTGTTCCTGCTGAACTTCCTCTTCAACTGGAGAAGAAACTTCTGCTTTTGCATCCTGTTTCTCCTCAGTAACAAGTTCTTGGTCGATCTGCTCCACTACTTCAGACACTTCAGGGGTGTCAACGATGTCATCCTTAAGACAAAGCAGATAATGAATCTGTTTAGTTCTAGTCTAAGTAGTGACACTGATGCTCTTAATTAAAAAAAACACTACGCATTCCATATTTCCTAAATATTCAGGAAGAGATTAGAAAATTTTGTGAGTAGGCTTTGAACTTGTATTGCTCATGTTAGCGCCACAGCTCAACATATTAAAGCACACTGACCGCTATGCCACAGAGCTGACATGATTGTGAGAATGTTAACAGTATTCTTTGTTAATTAAAATTTTATTTCAAATTTTATTTTGGGTGCATGGTTGATGAATTTTTATTATTTATATTATATATACAGTATATATACACACAATACCATTTAAAAGTTTGAGGTCAATAAGATTCTTTTTTTTGAGAAATACTTTTATTCAACAAAAATTCATTAAAATGATTAAAAAAAAAATTTACACACAATGTTACGAAAATCTATTTTAAATAAATGCTCTTCTTTTGAACTCTTTTGAGCTCAAAAAATCCTGAAAAAAATGTTTCATGGATTATACAAAATTTCTAAAGAATCATGTGACACTGAAGACTGGAGTAATGGCTGCTGAATATTGTCTGAATGTTGGCTTTGCCCACACAGGAATAAATTACATTTTAAAATATATTACAACAGAAAACAGTTATATTAAATTGTAAACACATTTCACACTATTACTGTTTTTACAGTATTTTAATCAAATATGTATGCAGCCTTGGTGAGCATAAGAGACTTCTTTGAAAAAAGAAAAAAAATAATAATAAATGACCCAAATGGTAGTGTATACAGATTTCTCAAATCATGTAACAGTACAACCTTGACCTTAAACTGAACAGTTTACCTGTGCTTCTCCCTCTGCCTCTATCTCCTCAGCAGTGCCATTTTGGATGACAGGTTCAGCCTCTAGAGAGAGCACTTGCATGGCCTGTGCATCCTCTGCTGTGACTGCTGACATCTCATTCTTCTCTTCCTGACTGTCAGTCATTTCTCCATTGACTTCTGCCACCTTCACAGAGAAACAGAATATTGAAAACCTGAGGTTTTGGGGTTGTACATATTTGTATGTGTGAACTGACAAAACTTGCAGATCTGGCACACAGCACATACTGTTTTATGAACCACAAACATAATTTGCATTGGCAACTGATGTAAGACAACTTGTTTGGCCTCATATTAAACCAATGATGAAATAGTGTACCAGATAAGACAACCAACAAAGGATGCAGCTGTGTCCCTCACCAGAATTTCTGTGTCTGCAAGGGCCTCATTGGTTGCAGCCTCTTCCACCTGGACTGAGGTTGCTGCTCCTTCTTGTTCTCCTCCACTTTCTCCATCTGTGTGTTCTTTAGTCTCTGGCACAACAGCATCAGGTTCTGTCTCTGCTTCAGGTTCGACCACTCTAAATTCAAATTACAGGTTATAAATGACAAGGAGGACAATTCGATAATTCAATCCTTCTAGATTTACATTACATTTTTTGGCACAACTGTTTTCAACATTGATAATAATAAGAAACTGAGCACTATACCAGCATATTAATGATTTCTAAAGGATCATGTGACACTATGGACTGGAGTAATGGCTGCTTAAAAATGACAAAAAAAAAATATATATATATATATATATATATATATATATATGCTTAAAAATGACAAAACAAAAATATATATATATATATATATATATATATATATATATATATACACACACACACACACATTTTTTTTTACACTGTAAACATTTTGCTGTATTTATGATCAAAGCCTGTGTGCATGAGACTTCTTTGAATTTTTTTTAAAAAACATCTTACAGACCCCAAGCTTTGAATAGTAGTGTATCATGAACTAAATTATTTATTAATCTAGGTTTAATGTTAATAATTTTAGTTTAGTTTACATGTACTAATACATTAACATTTCTAATTGCATAATTTAGCATTAGTTGGAGTATTATGAAAAAACATTAATCTATAATAAATAAAATATTAAGTTCTTTAAGTGTTTCTGTGGTTTCTAGGGTGTTTCTGGTCCCTACATATGGTTTGGGTCACTCCTTTGGATCTATGGGATTTTTAACCACATTTAATACGCTTTACATATGTACAATTTTATTCCTGTCAGGATTTTATATCAACAATTTACTAGCAGGCCCATGGCGGAGGGTCATTTTAAGAGCCCATCTTTTGTATTATGATATTATGCTTATTATCTCAGTGACACACGTGAGTAAACCCCCATTACTGTACAACCTCTAAAAGCAATCAGTCATTGAGGTGTTGTATGTGAGGGGTTTTTAGAGACCTGCTGATTTTTTCAGGTCGGTTCTCCATGGCGCTCTCTTCTGGTTCTTCCCGCAGCCTTTTCTTTTGTCTGTGTTCACTACTGCGCATGCGTGTGGAAATGGGCAAGTCACTAATTTCTAGAGCGAGAGGATGAAAGAAAAAGAAAAGGCTTTCACACTAACTTAAACTGTCTGAATTGGCAAGAAAAGGTGTTTTTAGAATGATAAATTTCACAAAAATCCAAACCTTCTGCTACTTTGAGATGTTTGTTGACTACCACCACATCCTCCTGTTAAACCAAAATGAAAACAATTCACTCTACTCAGTCAAGGGTTAACAGATTCTATAAATGCAAATATGCAAATAGCTCACAATCAGAAAAAAGCACAACAATTAAGCAAGCATGTGCATGTTCAGTCTGAATGACTAAAGGAAGCCCTCTACAGAATAATAGGTTCATATCCACCAGAAACCATTAAAAGTAAGTGTTTCTTGGTTATACTGAAGCTAAACACAAACCATTAATTGAGAAATTGACAGACTCAACAAAACATTGTTAAATGATATGATGTTGCTAATTTGGTGTAATGAAATGAGTTTATGCAGTTTAAAGTAAAAAAAGAAAAAAACACATTTTCCACATACTGTACATTATTGTTTCTCCTCTATGCCCCGCCTTTTTGAAACGCCATCGGTCTGAAAAAGCGAGGTGTGCTACCACTGATTTGTAGTCGTGTCCTCTTTTGGAAGACCAAACAAAGTAGTTTTGCTTTCACAACGGAAAACACAGCGGCCTAGCGTGAGGGGAAGCCCCGCCTTAGCGTGCGCTGAGGCCGGGATAGAGTGAGCAGAGGCCGGGCTAGCGTGAGCGGAAGCCCCGGTTTAGCGCGAGCGAGAACGGCGCACCCGGCAGATCCGACAAATGAGCGGCAACCACATGTGACGGACCCCGGGCTGGATTCCGCTTC